TCCAGACTTTATTTTTTTCAAAAAATGAGATCAGACTGTATCTACTGGTCTGCACATTGCTTTCATTACTTAAATATAGAATGGACATTCTCCATATCAGCTCTTTTATAGCACCTTCTTCCTTTGCTCAAGTAGGCAAGTATTTCTGAGGGATAAAGTCCTAGAAATGGAATTGATGCATCAGAAAGAAAGCCAATTTTTGAATGTTCCACACACTGTCAAAGTGTCTTTTGAAAAGGCTGTACCAATTTACTCTCCACAGAAGTATATGACAGTCTATTTTCCCAACACCCTCACCAATGCCGGATGTTAGTAACCTAAGCAAAAATGGTTTTGTGGTTGTTTTTAACCCACACTTATCTGATTATTAACAAAGTTAAGCATTTTATATACACATGTGAACTGCCTATTAATAACCTATGCCCAAATTTCTACTGGATTATTTTTTTCCTATTGATTTCTAAGAGTTCACATCTATTATATATATATTGCAACTATTTGCTTTATTACTTTGTCTTTTTTAACTTTGTTTATGACATCTTTTTCCTTCGAGAAGTATAATGTTTCATGAAGTTTTATTACTATTTTCCATTAAAGTTTCTGAATTTTATTAAACTTGGTGAGGTCTTTACTCCTCCAATTATTTTTTAAAACCATCTTATATATATATCTATGTACTGTAAGATACATAGTTTTGGTTTTGACATTTAATCTTTAATCTACATGGAATTTATTTGTGTGAATGGCATGATCTCATTTTTTCCTATGGATAGACAGCTGTCCCAGTAGACTTTCCCACAGTCAATTTTATCATATGCTCATTCCTAGCTTTATAATGGAGCCACTTCTGGGCCTCCTGGTCCTGGTCATACATGACATATTTTGACATGTGGCTAAACAATACATTACAAAATGAATTGCCTATTAGTACAAATTTATTTTTCCAGGTAAGCTTATCAGTTTGTAAAAATTAAATGACATTAAAAGGGTGGCCTAAACTAATACATAAAGGTCTCATGACCTGTCAAGTCTTATTTAGTCTTATTAGAGTATCATCCTTTGGCCGGGAGGTGGCCTTACTTCCTAGTGATTCACACACTACACAGAAATTTCAGACTTCATGGAATTGTGTTTGAATTTACAAATCGCTCATCAAAAACTTTCCAACACTACAATTCTACCAAGAGGCCTGGGCGGCCTCCTTGTGCCTCAACCAATACACATTCTGACTCTTTCCCCGTCTCCCCCCCAAACAATTTTTATGCTCCCAGCTCATATCTTTCAGAGATATAGATTCCCATCCTAAACCACAGTAAAGAGGCCTGACTAACAGGCCTCTTTTGACATGCCAAAGGGGGTTGTATTGGTTTTTTTTTTTCTTAGCTGAGCCATCCTGCCACCTGTTGGCAGCTCAGTGGCAGCTCAGCTCAGGCCGAGAATGGAACCAGTGACCATGCTGCTCAGAGCTCGCACTCTTGAGCAAGCTCTTAACCAACTGAGCCACTCGGCCGGCCTAGGAGGTTGTATTTTGATAGGCGCTTCCTCTGTGCTTGTCTCTCACACATTGTGGCAGCACATGGGAGAGCTGGGAGTCATGGCATTTCATAATTTATTCCCCTGGCACCACTTATTCCAAAGGGAAATATTGGGGTGTGATGGAAAGATTATGAGGCTGAAAGTCAGGAGACCTGAGTTTCAGTCCCCTTTCTACTTCTAATTAGCTGCATAGTTCCGATTAAGCTATTCTGCCTCTCCTTAGGCCTCAGCTGCCTGTGTAAAACGAGATTGTTAGAATAGTCATTACTAATTTTTCTTTCCACCATAGGTGACGCTTTAAGAATCTAAAGTAAGCGGTGGTTTCTCTCCCCCAGAGTAATGCCTTTTTGCACAGGAGTATGAAATCATACACTTCCAGGGGGTTCATAGACTCCCTAAATCCTATCTCTGTATTCCCTAGGTCAAGTTCACCGAGACCTACCACAAGCTTTTAAAAATAACAGAGAATACAACAGAAATGTATACAGAATCATGAAACCTTAAGCAAAGTTGAATTATTTATAGAACTAAAAACATCTCCCCTGCAGAAACTGGGAGGAGGGAATAGTTATTAGGAAAAACAAATTAAAGTGCCAATTAAGAGTTGCCCTTGATTGAGGCCTGGCTAAGCCCTTTACATATATTCACAGAGGACAGTACCCACCCCAAGGCCAAGCTCCATCATTTATTAGTTGTCTGACTTAGGCTTAGTGCCTCAGTTTCTTCATCTGTAAAATAAAGGCAGGGGCAGGAATAAAAACATTACCTAGCTCAAGGGTTGTTAATATACATAGGGTATGTAAACAGGGCCTGGCACACACAAAGCCCTAAATAATTATTAGCAATTGCAGAAATCTGGGACACACTTGCTGGGCGGTTAAAATTGTGAGCTGAAGTGATCAGGGGAGTCATAAATATCTTGATGCCTTAGTTTCCCAGTTTAAATAAAATCCGCTTCATAAGTTCATTGTGAAGGTTAATGAGACTGCCACACAAAACCTCTTTTCACCATGCCTAGCACATAACAAGTGCTCAAAAAATGTCAGCTCTTGTTATCAACAATTATGGGAGACAAGGATTATCATTACCTTTTTTTATTTCTGAATAAAGCATAAATCAGACTTAGAGAGGTTAGGCGCCCTGCTGATAGTACGTCAGCTAGCAAAGGACTGGGCCAAGACTTCAACTCCGATGAGACTGAAACCAGAAGTTGTAACCATTACCATGTATAATCTCTTATTTGAACAGGGCTTAGGGAACATAAAAGCTGATTAATACCTACTAGATTACTACTAAGAGAAAGAAAAAACTTGGTGATAACAGCCCAAAATGTGAGGTATTCTCCATGGAGGTCAGCCATGACTTTGGCCAAAAGCCCTTCTTTGCCATTCTTAGAAATGAAAGCCTGCAAAGGATGGACCCTGCTCTCAGCCAGTTCTAAGCCCTTCACAAGTAGTTGTTAAACCACAGCCCTGCCACCAAGCCATTTCCCACAGTAGCTTACCTAACCCACTGAACCCTTTAAAATGAAAGTAGACATCCAAAAGCTCAGGAAAGACACTTCAAAGTCTCGCAGAACTGCTGTAGAACACTAGTGTTAGTCTTTAACTAAAACACTTTTATTTGGGCAAGAATAAAGGTGTTTATTTCCATTTTTCGGATACCAAGCTCCAGGAGGCCTTCCTATAGCAAAATAAGAGGAAGTTCGTATCACAGCCCACAGTGGTGGGCAGTGAAGCGGAGTGCCAGTCAAGAGAGCCCTAGTAGGGTGCAGTGTCACCTAAGCAAGTTCCCCACTCTTTCAACACCAATTTCCATAACCTCAGTGAAACAGTAACCTCGAAAATAAGAACGAAATAGACTGGCAGAAGAAACAGCATGACCCAGTTAAATACAAGTTGGTACCAATGGCCTTACTTCACACCTTCATGTATTTACTTCTGGATGTGTTTTATTTTTGTATCTTTATTCAAAACAGCCCCATTCGTCAATTTTAAATCTACCATGCCTTTAAAACAAAGAAAGAAAGAAAAGAAAAAGCCTCAGGAATAGGCCTCACTGAAAGTGATGGCAGCAGCAGCAGAAGCGACCAAGGAACCCCCGCTAAGCTTGGTCAATGGATGGAGGAGCTGCTTCTCACTGGTGGCAGCCACATCACCTCCTTCACCAAGGGGAAAAAAGGGAGTTCACACATTCCAAGCCTACACCCACCCCCACGCCCCCAAAGGCGGTGAGAACCTTGCAGAGGGAGTCCGAAGCCAACTGGAATCTAGGCCCCTTTCTGCTCCCATCTGGCTGAATGACTCCCCTCCCCCGGCCTTAATTATCCCATCCCTAAAAATGAAAGGTGTCAATGAGATCGTGTGAAAGCCTCCTTTCTGCTCTAGATTTTAAATTCCCATATTCTTACATGTTAATGTGTCTTGCGGAAATAGAAGCCCTTCCAAAATGGAGTCACTTATGCTAAGCACCACGTCACCAGAGTCAACACCTAACTTAATTACAGTTTCTGCCTCTCCCAGGAATGGAATATTAAATCAGCCAATCTGGAATGCCTTGGTCAGTGCTAGTGAAGTAATCTGCTTGATAGACTCCTGCCTTCCCCTAAGGAAGGTTCCTTTCCACAACCAATCAGCTTTTTTCTAGTATAACTTCCATGTCCCTCTCCCTTCTGCCTATAAAAGTCTTCCATTTTGTACAGCTCCTCGGAGCTCCTTTCTATCTGCTAGACAGGATGCTGCCCGGCTCATGAATTATTGAATAAAGTCAATAAGAGCTTTAAAATGTACTCAGTCGAATTTTCTTTCCACACTTTCAAGCAGGACATGTTGCTCTCAATATGTGACCATTCCTTCCAATAACCCGTGTATAACCTTAACATAAGTATGATGCATCAGAACTGAAAAACAGGTTGCTGCTTTCCTGTGGCACCAAACCTGGTACTCAGTCAATGTGGGTTATTCTCTAGGGACTTTTCCCTCAATCCCACAATCCCACGGAAAAAAAGAAAAAAAAAAACAACAACAAGAAAAAGAAAAACTAAAAAACAAAAAACCTGCCTACCCCCCCCCCCATCCCTAAACCCAAAGCTACCTTTTCATAAATAAAAACATACCCATCCAACCAGGCCTGGTGTAAGGTGCCACAGCACTTTTTCCAGCATCCAGGATTCCACCTCTGCCCCACCCTCTCCTCTTTTTACCCGAGAACCCATGGATCAATACGTTCCAGGCTCGCCCCTGGCAAACGACCATTTCTTCCTCCCCTGCCCACCTCAGCTGGAAAGGAGGCAGCTCCCCGGCTCCAATCCCAGGAGACCCAAACCTCTTCCCAGCTCGCAGGGAGCGGCACCTGGGCGCACCTGGAAGGGCCCCAAGCCTCCGGGAAGGCAAGGGCAGCCGGCTCGCCCCACCCCAGCCCGGCGGTGCCGGGGAGACCTCCCCGGCACGTCTCCTGTCACTTACACGCGGCTCCTCCGGGCTGTCAGGCACAAGAGGACGACCGGGCTGGCAGGCGGCGGAGTTTGCTGACTCAAAGGCGCTGCAGCGGCGGCGGCGAGCGCTCAGGAGCGCACACGAGCGCAGCCCCGCGCTCCCCGCGCACGTAGCGGACCCGCGCCCGCGCTCAGCGCCCGCGGCGAAGCCTCGGGCTTCCGCTGATCCGGCCGCCGCCACCACACCGCCCAGCCCAAGTACGGCTCCGGGTCGCCCGCTGCGCCACGCCCTTGTGCCCGCCCGCGGAATAGGAGGCCGACCTTGGGTCGGCTAGACTGGGGCAAGCGGTGCAGCCGCGGGGGGGCGCCGCTGTGCCAGAGCCCAGATTCCTCCTCCTGTCAATGAAACCGGGCTAGGGAGAAAATACACCAGCTTGCCTGGATGTTGAGGCTGAAGGTGTGCAAAGTGGCACCCTTTGGAATCAACACATGAAAGCCACCTTGAGCTTGCTAACTCCGCCCCTTACTTATGGGGAGGATTGATTAATGGGGAGAGGTAGAGATGAATAGAGCATGCGATGAACAAGGATGATAGCTGTTAAAGGGTGGAATCTAGGTTGGTGGGCATAAAATCTTTCAACTTTTCTGTATGTTTGAAATCTTTCACAATAAAACTTCTTGGGAACAAGAAATGAGATCTGTCAAGGCCTGAATCAGTAAACCGTTTCCCAAATGGCACCTTGGACTGTGTCTGACCCATCTGTTTGCATGGACAATAAATGACTGTTACTGGTTTATGTATTTACTATACTATGCATTTTTATCATTATTTTAGAGTGTACTCTTTCTACTTAAAAAAAAGTTTGCTGTGAAACTATTGGCTGCCACAGCCTCATGCATCTCATGTTTACCACATCGCTTAATTGCATCATTTTCTCTTGTGCTTGACTTAATCCCATGTTGTTTTGTACAGTAATAGGCTGTACAGGCTTGTAGCCTAGGAGCAGTAGGCTATACCATATAGCCTAGGTGTGCAGTGGGCTAGACCATCTAGGTGTGTATATGTGCACTATGATGTTTGCATAATGATGAAATCACCTAAGGATGCATTTATCAGAATGCATTCCCACTGTTAAGCAACATGTGACTGCAATCACTGAAACTACTCATTGGTGACTACATGGCAGAATAATATTTCATTTTTCAGACAGCCTAATATTTCATTTTTCAAGCACAAATTTTCCCCTTAGATACAGCTGGCTGCTGACTATATCATTCAGGGCCATCCCAGGCCCACCTGAAATGTTTATCCTCCCTCCTCACCTAATTGGCTTTGCATAACAAGACTTCTAAATCTACAACGTTATGTCTTAACATCTTGGATCCTGAATTTGCATCGCTGAATATTGATTTTTTGTTTTGTTTTTTGTTTTTTGTTTTTGTTTGTTTGTTTTTTTAGCTGAGCCATCCTGCCACCTTTTGGCAACTCAGCGGCAGCTCAGCTCGGGTGGGACTCGAACCACTGTTGCTCAGAGCTCACACTCTTGAGCGAGCTCTTAACCAACTGAGCCATTCAGCCGGCCCCTGCATCGCTGAATATTGAATGAGGTATTTAATTTCCTAAAATTGCACCTAAGTCATAGCACACAAGTGAATGTAAACATGACCGCTTTTGAAAATCAAATTAAAGTGTATTTTTCAAATTATTGTCCCTATGAGCCACAAAAAAACCCAAAAAACATTGACTGGAAAACAAAACGCAGTGAGTGTCTAAGATCCTAAAAGATATTGCAAAATTAAAATCTTTCTGAATTTATTATCGTCAATAACATGACCATACAACTGTAGACAGAGCAGCAAAAACCTTTGGAGAGTCCATTGGAAGTTATTTAAACATGTTAAAATTGTGTCCCTAACAGAAAAGAAGAATTCAGAATAGAATGAAGCAATAATGGATTGTTTTAGTCCACTCCATCAGTATAGCAGCTGGGCAGTGTTTCTGGATTAAGAATTGTAATGTGTAACCTGAATGCAGGGGACTGAGCTAAATGACTGCCACCTTTTTTAGGTTGTGACTTTTTGTCATCAGTGGGCAAATAGACCAGGACTTTCTGGTGCTTAAGAAATCCTAGCCTACTAATAAAATCACCATAAAATTGCTTTTAAGAAGAAATTCTTTTACCTGCCCAAATCCTGCCTCAACAGTGACTTTTATGTTAACTAGATTCAGATCCAAGCTTTACCACATCTCACTCTGTGATCCTGGGAAAATAACAAACCTGGGCCTCATGTTCCCATCTGAAAAATGGGGAAGATAATAACAGCACCAGCCTCATAGGGTTGTTGTGGAGGTTAAGTGAAATAACTCAGGTAAAGCTTGGAGCTGTGCTGAGTACATAGTAAGTGCTCAATAAATTTTATTTTCTCTTATAACTTTGCTATTATAACTGTTATTATAACTTGATCCTTTTCTCTAATCCCTTCCATCTCCAAGTTAAGTGCCCTTAGTTAGACATATTAAGGAAAGCTACTTCCATCCCCCGCCTCTAACTCAAAAGACAGTAAGAAGACACCGAGTCCTTCCTTCATCTCCTGGGAAACTGCAAAATCCACAGACAGTAAAAACTGTCTAGAGTCGGTGTCCAGAAATTATAATGAACTGACACTATACATAACATTACATTCAAAACTCTCCAAATTTGCATAAACGGTCCTGTCTTCTTGGGGAAACACTGTCATGGAAGATATTCATAATGTACAGAAAATGGTTTCTGTTATTCATCAAACAACTAATAATGGGAAGTGAGCAGAAAGTTTAAACAAATCACAAATAATTTGGATTTTGGTTTCTGATCTTTACAATTATAATCTTTTTTCAATACTATGAAGACATGCAGATTTAATGTGAATAAAAATAACCACTCTTGGCTATCAATCTAATGCATTTTTTTCAAAATACCTCTCTTATGCACCACTCTGATAAAAACACTAGAAAAAAGCTTACACATTTGTTAGATAAAGGGGTATAGACTTCTCATCCCTCTACCCACCCCTCCATCTTCCTTACTTCTGTTAGTACACTACTAGTCTCTCAATTAACTCCAAACCTACTAACGTTGACACTTTGCCTTTGACCTACACCCTTCGCCTGATCCACTCAGGTCGAGTCCCAGACATTTCATGTGGTCAGATCTTGGTGTTATCTTCTGCATTCCATTCTCCTGCCCAAACTCTGACTCTCTCAGAATTCTACAATCGCCTCTTCACAGTCATTTGATTTAGTGGTTTTCAAATATTTTTAGCAATGGGATCCCTTCTTCAAATGAGCCCCATTTAGAAAATAGAGAAAAACAGTACTTGATTACTATGCATTTATTTGAAGAATTTGATTTTGTAACATTTGTTTATCATAAAGAAATCCATGACCACCGGAAGCTGCTTTGTTGAACACCAACATTTGAAATCAGGGGTTTGTTAATGATTGTTGGAATGTCTTATCAGTGTCAACATCTAATTTATTTCTTAATTCTATTGCTCAATATTGAGAAAATACTACACTATGCATAGAAGTCTTTATAACATTTGTAAACAGTTTACAATTTTCTTTCATCTAAGCCATTCAGAACTTTGAAAGGGGAGTAGTTGAAATTTTTTTTTCAAAGATGATACACTGGAGACTAGACTTCAAGTGACAAGCACACAACAGACTATACAGATGTTGTATTATAAAGTTGTACACTTGAAGTTTATATAATGTTATTAACCAATGTTACCCCAATGAATTCAATAAAAATAAAAAAATAAATGGGGAAAAAATGAAGCACTAAGAATATCTAATACCTCCCCATGTTTTATCACCAATAGAAAACGCTAGTAAGAAGACCAATGTTTACAGTAAGTGCTAACATGCCTATATAATGGAAGCTGTGGCCACACAACATGCTATGTGTTCAGTTGTCTTTGCACAACTGCATAAGGAAAAAGAAAACTGTGTTTCTCCTTTACTCTCACACTACTACCACACTCACAACACTTCTGACACCAGATGTGTGAGTTTTCCACACATCAAGCTCTGCGACACCAACTGGGTGTCCTAAAATTCAACTCAGTTCTGACACTGTATACCTGGGGTTAGCATTGGATCCCACAGTTTAAGTGGTCGGTCACACAAGACCACCCCCACTTCAGATGCCAATCACAAGTTCCAGGTTTCACCTGTACTCTGACACACCAGCTATAGATCGGTGTTCGCATGACCCCCTCCTTGGGTTTAATAATTGCTAGAATGGCTCGCAGAACTCAGGAAAACACGTTTACTGGCTTATTTTATAACAAAGGCTATGAGAAAGGATACAGATGAGGAGGTACGTAGGGCCAGGTCTGGAAGGGGCCCAAGCTCAGGAGCTTCGGTCCCCGTGGAGTTGGGGTATGCACCCTCCCTGCATGTAGATGTGTTTACCACCTCAGAAGCTCTCTAAACCCCTGCTTTCAGGATTTTTATGGAAGCTTCTTCATGCTGGCATTATTGATTGTTAATTCAATTTCCAGTTCCTCTCCCCTTCCTGGAGGATGGGGAGTGAGGTGAAAAGTTCAAGGCTTGTAACTGAGGGTATGTATGGTCTTTCTGGTGACCAGCCCTCATCCTAAAGCTATCCAGGAGCCCAAGAGTCACCTCATTGGAACAAGATACTCTCCTGAGGGATCTTGAAAATTCCAAGGGATTTAGGAGCTCTGTGTCAGGAAACAGGGACAAAGACCAAACATCAGAACAAAAGATACTCCTAGTGTTCTTATCACTCAGGAAATTATAAGGATTTTAGGAGCTCTGTGCCAGGAACCATGGAACAGAGACGTGGATATCTTGCCCATTATTCCACAGGAACCATCCACAAGGATGCACACTGCGGTGACGTTCTGTCCATTCTGCTTCATCAAAACAGCTTCATTCCTTTAAAAAAAAAATTAAAGGAAAGGAAAGACCAAAAAATTTCACATCAAAAGCTAAATTTTAAAAGCATTGGTTTCAATGGCAAATTTTGTTTTATTACTACAAACTAAAAATAATAAATTGGTTGGTTAACACTGACCCAAAACGGGCTGACTGAGTGATGCGCTGGTTAGGAGTTGGCTTAGGATGCCAGCTCTGAGCATCAGGGCCCTGGTTCGGATCCCACACATGAAGGGCCAGTGATGCTGTGCCCTCTACAGCTAAGATAGTGAACAATAGCTCGACCTGGAGCTGGGCTGCCGTGAGCCACCGGAGACAGCGTAGGCTGAAGT